TTAATTTTTCCTTTTAGTAGTACAAAATTTAATACGCAAAATCTGCCCCCATTATTGCTTAATCAAGTAATTAAATGATAATTTTCTCAAATTTTCAAGTAATTTCCATTTTCCCTCCTTCCCCACCCTTTATAATTATATATACTTCCAGTACCAGACAAGGGCCACTAGGCGCAGAGGAATGTTCTTCAAAAACAGAGCATGAAAGCGGGGAAAATCATTTCTTGAATAAAAAGAAACCAACCTTCTGTTGGTCGAAATGTCCTCCGAAGTTAATCGTTTGCAAGAATTTGGATTTTCAGGTTCGATCTCGTTACTGGGTTTTGGTTTAATTACTCTGTTTGGATGCCAAGAAAACAGAGCAAGTCATAGAAAGTGAAATTCGCTTGAATTCTTGGATGTGATCTTCTTCTCTTTTGATTCTTCTACTGTTTCTCCTCTCTTTCTTTTTGGGCATAGATCAAATTATAAATTTTCTGCCTAATTTGGGTATTCTGCTCGAACCCAACTTTGCAGAGATGGCTGGAGAAAGAAAGAAGGTGGATGAGTTTCCACCGATCATTCCACAAAGAGAAGACGACCATAGACGACCGGAATCCAAATTCGACTTGCGCAAGAGTTTTGCTTGGGATAGTGCCTTCTTCACAAGTCCAGGTTTGTTAATCGTTCAAGAAATCAAAACCTCACTTACTATCCCTGTAAAAGGAAAATTCATTCCCATGAATTCCTTTACGTATATAGGAATTTTGGATTCCGAAGAGTTGTTTGAGACTCTGAATGTTAGGAATTTGGAGAATGGGGTTGACAAACCCGATCACAGGGAGCAGAAATGTTTACCTTCTGAGTCTTTGGACCCAGAAAGAACGAGTACAGTTGGTGAATGTAATCCCCGCAGAAGTTTGGCGTGGGATAGTGCCTTTTTCACTAGTGCAGGTCTGATTTTTGTGCTTACTGGATTCCATTCAAGTTACCCATTTCGATATTCAGCCTCATTTTACTGTTCTTTTTGTTTGTGAATGGTTCAGGGTTCTTGGATCCAGAAGAGTTGTCTATGGTAAACAGAGGTTTCAAGAAGTCTGAAGCACCCATGCTTCCTGGAATTGTGGAAGAATTTAAGCGGTCTGCTGACTCATACTCTACGATAGATACTGATTACTCCTTAGTGAGCCTCGAGATTGATCTTTTTGATGACATGAAAGCATCGGTACATAAATCAAGCAAGGCATCCGGTCTTTCATTTTCAAGTTCAGAATTGGGTAGAGGAACTGGCACACAGAACTTCCACTGTAAGATAAGAATACCTCATTATTATTATTATTAGTTTTGGTATGTTTGTCCTTTTTATATATTTTGTGCTTTGGTTCTCTAATGTGCTTAATTATGGAGGTGATTGTTTTCAGCTTTAAGAAAAGTGGATGGTTCCTCTAGGACGAGGGTATGTTTCTGTAATGGCTGACATAACTGTATTAGTTGTGGCTTTGCTTGGTTTGACGTGTAGACTGTATACATTTCAACTTTTCAGATTGAGCCCGTACCGGCTTCAAGGAGGCAATCTGTCAAGAAATATGGTAAGGAGATGATGGCCAAAGAGGAAGAGGTTGCTATTCTTCCACGATCACAGGTATGTTCAGTACAGCGCAGTAGTCATTCCATTTACTCTCTTTCTATATACCACACTGCATCTAAGAGCTCAGGTTAAATTTTTGACATCATACTTGAGGCTCAAGTAAAGGGTCCTGCTCGAAATAGAGAATCAAATTCTTCATCCTCTTCTAAGCCATTAAAGACACTTCACAAGCAGGCTGAGCCTCTGTCAAGTTCTGCCATCAAAAGGGCTTATGTGGGTGCAAACACTGAGAAAATGGAACATAAAATCAGAAAGGATTCATTTGGTAATCATATTCCTTTGAATTTGGATTCATTCATAAAAGTTCAAAGTTTTTTCCCCTCATGTTTCTTGAAGAATTTGTGTTGAATTTCATGTGACAGTTACAGGGCAAGATATCTCAAAGAGACCTTGTTGTGGTAGTGACTCAGGCAGTGGTGTTCCCTTGACACCATCACCGGGATCAGCTTCTTCCAAAGGGTCTGATAGTTCCCTATCAAAATCCATGAATAAATCTCTTTTAAACTCTCTGAGAAAAAAGAACTGTTCGAGAGTGGCTGCTTATGATTCAAGCTCTAGTACTCCTTCAAGGGCATTAATGGGAAGCAGAAGCAAGCTAGAATTTTACAGCCAGCCTGTTCACTCGTTGTCCACATCCAAGTCTTCGTCTACATCACCTTCCAGTTCAATTAACGGATGGTCCATGGGATCATCAACTTCTATGAATCAAATATCTGATGATTCCAAAGCAAGTTTGGATGCTACCCTCCATAGAGGAGTTTCTTTGGACACTAATGCCTCTCAAGGATCCGATAATGGGAGCCATTCTTGTAATCGATCCTCTGCAGAAAGTAAAGGTAAAGAAATGAAGTTGACAAATCAACATGTTGATAGATTCTCAAAGGAAGCTGGTTCACAATCCCCCACTGTTTCAGGGAACTTAAAACCGTCAGGTCTTCGAATGCCATTGCCAAAAATTGGATTCTTTGATATGGTTAGTCGCTCTATGTTTATTCTGGCTGCGTATCATTTTCTGCTTTGGTTTAATGGTTGGAATTGAGTTTTTACATCACATTCTTTCTTTGACATGATAGGAGAAATCCATGGCTTTAGCACCAAATTGTAACCTGAAGTTCCATGCCGGCTTACAATCTTCTTCTAAACTTAGAAGCAGTATGAGTAACCTTGCTCGCACTTCAAATAGAGGAAAATGCAGTAAGTTTGAATTGCCAAGAGCATTAATGAGGACAGGGAGGGTGAAGCTTTCTCTAAAAACTGGAGCCTCATCTTTCGATCTGGACATCCGACCTATATGTCCTACAGATGTGGAAGTAAAAACTGATTCTCTTCCATCTGATTCGAAGGAAGAAGACGAAAGGAAGCAAGGACTTGGGGGAAACAAAAGTGGAAAAGAATGCAGGGCAGAAACTTGCCAAATGGTTAAGAAGCAAGATCTGAAGCAGAATGAAGATGCAAGCACATTCTGTCTGGAAATTAACCCTCATACGGTTCATGGCAATAACAAGGAAAAGGAAAATATATGCAATTTTGCGAATGAAGTCGATAATCTAAGTAGAGGCATCGAAGCCATTGATTTTAGCAGGGATTCGTGATAGAACTACAGATGAGAAATTCCCCTTTTTGGTGCAACTTGTTCTGCCATAGATAGATGTTAGAAGAGTTGAGTCATCTTTCTTAGATAAGAAGCTTTATGAAGGATTGTTGAACATCTACAAAACCCTAGTCCATTTTCCTCCTCCTTTTTTCCTTTTTTTTTTTTTTTTCTTCTGACAAGCCTTGTCCATTTTCCTGTTTCATGTGATGTGGGCTTTTTAAAACTTCCCTATCTCATGTGTGAGCGTGAGCCCGAAGTCGGGAGTTCATGAATGAAGAGAGACCATCTCAAGAAAACATGAAACATTCCATAACACAATTTTACTCGATTAACAACAAAAATGTCAAAAATGTTTTGGATAATACTCCATTAGAGGAATCCAACGAGTATGAATAGGTAAAAGCCTAAAGGCATCAAAAGTTGTCCTAGCAAACCTAAGACCTTGGCTTCTCCTTCTTCTCTTTAAAGAGAGCCAGAAGAGAAACTCCAGATACTTTAACGACCTTGAACCTGACTCCAGGAATATCTCCCACCGCATGCCCCTTTCGTCCAAATCCAGCAATCAAAACCTCATCCTGCACCAACCAAATCAAGTTAACTATAGCATGAAGAGAAGGGCTAAATGAGCAATAGACAAACTTATATGGAAGTTGATATATGAAGAAAACCTCAACTCAACACAGAGAAATCATATACAAAATGAGAACAAGAGGATTAGGATGGCGAATCAAGGCAAAGAAAGTAGACCAGGCAACTCAATGAGGCATAATTGCAACATGGACAGGAAAGCCCAAATATAGTCCTTATGATGCAAGTTTTAAGACTGAATATTTACAATTACTAAACACTGTACAGGTGAATTCATTTCAGAATAACGTAAGGATCAGCTTATAACCTCTGACCTATGTGCATCACTTACATTTTCCTCAATGTAGTTCAAACAACCATCATTGGGTACAAAAGCAGCAATCTTTTTGCCATTTTTGATGAGCTGAACACGAGCACATTTTCTGATAGCAGAGTTTGGCTGCTTAGCTTCAATTCCACTGCAAAAGCCAATTAACAATTTGTCAGATTTGCATCCTATCTCAATATCCTATCCAGAAGCATTATTCCATTGGAGCCTGAGATTGGTCATACATTTTCTCAAGAACAATTCCTTTGGCATGAGATGAACCAGCAAATGGTTTCTTCCATTCATTTCCAAGATGGGACTTCTTATATGCCTTGTCAGCCCACCTTTGCCTCCTACGGTGGGACTTGAGCTTACGGGCAGCTCCCATACCACGAGTCTTCCTGGATAACATTCACATTTTCTCAAATTAGCAAAAAAAAATTCTCCATAACAGATTAAAATGCAAAACACAAAACCACCAATCATCACTACAAGAAAAAATCTCCATTCAATCAGCTCACAAAGACAAAAATATATATATATTGATTATGAGATGCAGAATTCAATCCGTCCCAACTTACCCACTTTTCTAGATTCAACTACTCATTTGAAAACTTTTACAGGGAGCGAAGCATACATATATACAAAGATATCAATCGAGCATAAATGACGCGCAAATTAGCATAACACAGACATCAAAACAGAGAGAAGATAAAACTCTTTTCTCGAGAAAATTGAGTTGAGGAAGTGGTGAGTGCGAGAAACTTACCCCATTTTTGCAGCTGAGAAGGAGAGTTACTCCGCCTGAGAAAGATCAACAGCAGCTAAGGATAGCCGGCGACGGCGATCGGTTCGGGAACTTATATAGGCCCTATGTATGTACTTCAGCCACTGGAAGAAATTAGGGTTTAAGTGGCTTGACGGAGATAGAGCGGAGTTCTTACCAATATTACCGATATGTCCTTCTATCTCCATCCAACGGCCTTAATCATTCGGGATATTTATTTACCTTTTTTTTTTTTTTTTCAGTTTTTGCATTTTTGGCTACATTTTCTTTTTGGTCAATGAATTATGGATGTGATAATGATTTAGTGCGAAAACTTTATTTCTCCCAAATCCAACCCTTGTGGCGAACCTTAACAAGACGACACTCGGTTTACAGTGAATCTAAACTTTTAGGGGGGCTCTTTCGTTTTTGTTGGGTGGGGGGACTCCCAAACTTTCTTTACTATTTTTTTTCTTATTTTTGCATCTTAATACAACAAGAAAAAGAAGATAAAAGTGAAATTTTAAGTTTTTATTTGTTTTAACACAATTTCAATAAGCAAAATTTCTGTTTCAGGTTTTCTTGAAAAGAAAAAAAAATTTTTAACTTTTCTTATATAAAAGTTACTTAATAACTTATTTACTAACTTTTTTATTAGTTTTTAATAAATAAAAAATTTTAAATTTTAACAAAATTTCATTACAAAATTTATTACTTTTATAAAATCTCCATTTTGATCTTTTTACTTTGACAAACAACCTATTTTTAATCTTTTTACTTAAAAAAAACTCCTTTTGGTCCTTAAAATTTGAAATATAACATTTTTATAATTCTTTTGTTAAGTTTTGTATATGTGAGACATTAGATGACAAAAATTTCAAAGTAGAATGATTAAAAAGGATCTAAAAAAAACTAAGAATATTCCCAATTTGGTCCCTCTACTTTGAAAAAAACTCATTTTTAATTCATCTC